GCCCGGGCCCTGCTGAAGAAGCCGTCAATCATGTTCTTGGTGACTTGGTGGATGTAGGGTTCAAGGTTCAGGGCCTGAACCCTAGACCTAAACGATTGTTCTTGGGTGGAGCAGAGCTTTGGGTTCCGGTTTTAGGGCTTAGGGGCTCGGGGCTCAGGGCTTAAGCGAGGGTTCGGTGTTTAGGGTGTGGGGTTTAAGAACATTTCGCCAGTCCTCGTTGTAGTCGCCAAGTTTTGGTCATCAGTGTTTGAATTCAGGGGGGGGGTGAGGTGTTGTTCGGGAGTTACCGTTTCGGGGGCGTTGGGTACTTTTGCTTGTCCAATCACAGCGACCCAAGCGCTGGTACCCTTGATCGCTCGCAGCATGCTGTGATAGTGATATGCCCTGCCAGCTTGAAACATCCTGTAGCACTCATGGTCTAGTTTGACGAGTCGTACGCGCCCGGCTCGTTCAAGAGATAAACGCAAAAGTTGGCAGTACGCTATCCAATTGGGTCGGCAGTACGCACTGAAGTCATTGTTGCTTGTTGCCATATCATGCTGCCCTATCTTCCCAATGTGGCAGATTGGACATACTTCGTGCTGCAAGTGATATGGAAGACAGTTCGCTTCTCGGATGAATCACTCCAAGTGCCTGGGTGGTGGGCAGAGCCACCAGCTCGGATTTTGCCACCTCTGGACAACGTGGGCCTTCAAGAAATGCATGTCCGACAGGTCTATTGGGTAAGTGCCCTCATGCTTGGACCACCCATCTATTGCATCATCTGTTGCATCATGTGCTTTGCAGTTCGCGGTTTGACAACCGCCTGGCCCCTGGGTCGCCGAGACAGCCGTACTTTCTCACGTGTTGCTTCAGACTCGGAAGCTTCAGATTCAGATCATTCAGATTCAAGGGCCGTGCCAAGCGTCCAGACGGCACAAAGGCAGGACTCATCCAGTCGCCTATCACGCAATTTGTGTCGGCATTGTTGGCCTTGCATTATGTCAAGGGTGGCTGTCCCTTTACACTGGTTTGGCCTGGGAACTGTGGTTTCTGTGGCAGCAAGTCTGCCTTTGGAGCCTCGTAGGGTGTGTGAGAGTCGATCTTATCCGTTGCTTCTTTTCAGCTCTAGGGGTAGAGGGTTTTTGCTAGATCGCTGATCGCTGGGGAACACGATTCGCCCATGTCTCTAGCTAAGGATCCTTTTTTGCCAAAACTTTGTGCGCTGCTGCTCGGGAGTCGGTCCGGCATCGGAGAAGAAAGTCGCAAGTGCAATTCTGATGTTCACATTGCCGCTGTTCAGCGAGATCTCTGACACTATGAAGGATTGGGTCGTTGCTGGGCAGTGCTTACTGGCGCCACGCACAATCGCAGGCTTCGTGTTTGGGATAGTGCTGGTTGTGTCAGATGTTATTGCCTCAAAACGGATTTGGGATGGTGCGGTGGCTGCTGATGTCATTCGTTTCATTCCAGCGTGGCCCACGCTCCTACTAGTACAGGCAACGATCCCGACATCGTTGATGGTTTTCTCTCTAGTGCAGCATTTGGCAGCACCTTGGATAGCTTTCATCTTGCCGCCTGTTCTGATGGTGCTTTTTCACGTGCGCATGATGCAATGCTGGGAGCAGCTGGAGCAGACACATGTGATGCTTCCTATCCTGACACTGCTTGGAGTGTACTTGGCTGTAATGAGTCTTGCAAGTTGTTTGCCATCTCTTTCGTCCCGGTGCCTCGTATGCGATGTTGTGAAAGGTTTGTGGATGGACGGGGCCTGTCTGTTCGTGTCTTCTGTTTATGTGATAGCTCGTTCCTACACATTGGTATTGCTGGAGAGAGAAGGCGCGATGGATCTACAGAAGTCCTACATGGCGATCATTGCACTCCCTCCTCATCCCATACCAGGAGTGATTCAGACAACACGTTGCGAACAAATGACATTGTTGATGTCGAACTTGGCTGTGGACTTCCTGTCCAAGGCTCGACTTCTCATTGCCTGGACGGAAGACTGGCCCCAGGGCTTTATAGGCATTTTCGTAGGGCTGATCACTGGATCAAGATTCGCCTGGTTGTCGGCTGTTGTCAGCCTCGTCAAGGGAGTGGTGATCCCTGTCGGTCAAGCAGGGATCTTTTCTCTGAAGCAACGGGAAGCCCGCAAAGGCCTGGCTGACTTGGTGTGGCCTCTCTCCGGGGACTGCGCTTCCTTGATGAGGTGTGGAAAGAAGCTGCGGGATGTTGGCAAAAATCTGCAGCGGGCTGATATTGAACTCAGACAAGTTGTAGCAGACATCTTGGACACAGAGACAAATAACATGTTTCTCGAGCTGAACATCTTGCCCGGGAGGGATCTTTACAAGACGATAATTGAAGAGCGCGAAGAGTTCATAGAAAAAGCTACGAGATGCACGATTTCGGACATGTTCCCTTCTGGATACAAAGACCGTTGCGCCAAAGGCCCATGCGGACTTTTAGTGCCAGAAGACATGGTTGTTGATGTGGTTTACGGGTTTTCTCAACAAAGTCGTCTCATGCAAGAGAGCACAGTTCCTCGCACAGAAGAGCTGCAGAATTTGTTTCGACGACATTCCTCGAAAGGCCAGGTTGCAGCTGAAACCGGCAGGCTGTCCGGATTTACCCCCCGAGAATTTCTAGCTGCCGGCTTTTCCTTGGAGATGTGCCGCGACGCCAACTTTCCCATGACAGAGTGCATTTCGTTAAGTTTCTGGGCTGGATTTCCAGTGTCTCGATGCAAGTCCATTTGGCCTATGGTGGATGCCCAAACTCTGAAACGAGTCGGCTACGACATGGAGGCAATCCTGGCGGCCGGGTTTGGGTGTGAAGATCTCAGAACGGCAGGGTTTTCGATAATTGAATGCAAGGAAGCCGGCTACGATTTGAACAGTTGCAGTAAGGCAGGTTTTAGTGCGGCCGACTGCAAAGATGCTTGGCCTGATGCCACTGCGAACATCTGGAAGCAGCATGCCTTTACTGTCCAGCAGTGCTGGGAAGCTGGCTTCAGCAAGTCGGAATGCATTACAGCAGGCTATGATCAAAGCGACGTTGATTCCTTTTATGCCTGGGAGTTTTCCAGGCTGCGGCGTGAATGTACGTGGCTGTGGTGCACCTGTATGGGGTGTGCGCGGCTATGTGATGGGCTTCGTGATTGGCTTCGTTGACTTTGCAATGGGTGGGGATTCTATCTACTTGTGGTTGTGTTCGAAGCATTTGCGATGTTGGCTGTGTTCCGCTTCGTCGCTCCACATGATAACTGAAATATTAGTGCTGTGGTTGGCTGGAAGAATTCTGCTGCGCGTGTCACGATGAACAGGCTGTTCAGATTTTGCCGGAAGCTGCGATATACTTCTGCGGCATGTGGCACGAAAACAAGGCCTTTGTGTGTATGCCTCGTCAGATTGACATGTCCTGCCAGTAGGAATGCTGACACGTGCAGCATCGTCAGGGTGTCGTTGGACACAACAGTGCTCAGCCGTATAGTAAAAAGAACAGGGCTGGCAGGGCAGCGGGCATAAGCAATGCAACAAGCCCACAGCATGAGTACGGAGCACAGCACAAGTCCGAGTGGGCGCCATCCTGCATAATGGTGCTCAGCAGGGGCCAACCAGACTTGTCAAGTGTGAGCGAATCTTGTGCATGTTCGCCAAGGACGAAGCCACCAGTGCCTTGGACTCGAGCTGCGAGAAGCAAATCCAGCAAACCATCGACAACTTGGGCAAGCGCCTTGGATCCGATGGGGTTCCGGCCCTTTTTGGATCCTAAGCCCTAAACCCTAGATTAAGGGTCTCTTTTGGAGTGGAACCCGGAGTTGCTGTTCAGAACCCCGAACCTTGTTGTTCCCTTGTAAAGGCCTAAAACTTTATGTCCTAAACCTTCAACCAAAAGCCCCAGACAGGGCCTAAACCTTAAACCTCAAAATGGCTACAGCCATTTTGGCCAAACCATTTTGGCTCAAGGGTTTCGGCTCAGGATCTTTGTGGGTTCCTCTGTTCGCGGTGCGTCTTTTCAGAGAGGTTGCCTGGCTTCCTGCTTCCACTTTTTTACACTTCTGTGAAAAGAAGGAAGCGCGGTGAGAGGGGGGGAGCGGAAAACTTTGTGAGTGGAGAAAGACGGGGTGAAACATGTCGAGAAAAGCCCGCCTGATACCGTGGCAAAAAGAGAGTTGCGTGCCTGCACTTTCTTTCGCTCCAGCTGTAGACAAAGGAAACTAAGTAAACAGAACGCTACGTGTTTGCCTTTTCACGTGTGTTTTGTTGCCTTAGGAAAGCTTTGCACTGTACTGCTTTGCACCGCCTTAGCGACTGGCTTAAGCTGTCCATGTCGCATGCATGGAAACTTTTCAGCACCCACCCTCCACTCCCAGAAAGTTCCGCATGCAAGCATACTCCAGCATCGCATATGCGTTTCACCTTTGAGACGGGGGAAACTGGGCATAGCATCTAGCAGACGAGAGCAGGCTCGCGGATTGCCGGGTGCGGGCGGTGCGGGTTTGTCAATACATGTCCCGTATGCAATACCCGAAAGGTACATGGAAGAAGTCTTCAAGTTGCTATCTATATATATATATAATATGTATACTATCTGTTAAGCCCTAGACTTCACAATTTTCTTTGCTAGTTCTCGGAACCCGGACCCCGGCACCGCCGGCACCCAGCGTGAAAGCCACAAAATGTATTGCGGAGCGTGCGATGTAGCCCCGTGCAAAGAGCACGCAATCCGAGGGCAAGTGTGCATCAGTTGCTGACTGACTCGCATCGCATCTTTTCTCCTGAGCATAACACTATTCAATACGGCTTGTGAGTTTGAGTGGCGCGAATCCAACTGCCAATTCCTGCTGAAGCCCGTCTGTTTGCGTGCTGGTGCCACAGTGAACCAACCACACCCTTCACCACCAAGCCCCGTCTCCAACAGGTGTGTCGTTTTAGGCCGGAGTTCTTTTCATTAGGGTGACATGCGACATGCAGCAAAGCAGACGAGTCCGTCAAGAGCACGAAACATGCAATGATGGAATGGCGACACGGAGCATCTCGAACCGCATCGCCGGAGGCACTGCAGCATACGCTGTACATGCAGTGGTGTTGAAGAATCGTTGAATTTGTACGGTAGGCCTGATGTGCATTTTTCCATTTCCGCAGGACGTAGGTATGCTGATCTCCTTCTGCGTCAACGATGCAGGTTCCACAGCAATGATTCTCCTTTCGATACCACTGTTGTCCGACAGGCTTCCCCAACCCCTGTGCAGGTGGCAGCTTGCGGGCATCCGCTGTGCGAGCACGCTTACAGAAGTGGCACTGTCAGAGAAGGTACACTGGTTGAATGCAATGCAACTGCTGTAGCAATGAGTTCAACCCACTTTCTTCTTGATAATCTTGTGATGCCTTGTTGCGAGGAGAACAACACACCGCGAAGATTGGCCACACCACCAAGAGGTCCTGCGGGTAGCTGTTTTCGTGTAGTTGCCATGAGACATACTTGGACTCCTTCTGGCTTGATGCCAGAGGTTTTCGGCGGATGACTCTTCGGGACGTGCTCGCCCCGACTTGCGTGCTGTGTGTGACCGCATGGGCAAGACGAGGATCAGGTTCACGGCGATGATGAAGTGATGAAGATGGCATAGAATGGATATTGACGACCATGATGAAGATGACAATTGCGGCAACAGCGACAAAGATTCATGATGCTGACCGTTATGTTAAAGATGACGACCGCGATGTTGACTCGTGAGGTGGTGATAGATCTGTTTGTGGTGGTCTGGGTCTGGATGCTGCAGCCTTTTCGCAGTTTGACATCCCGATCGAAAACAAGCCTGAAGTGGATCTCTCCAAGCAAGCCGAGGAGTTGTTGGGATTAAAATGTGCGGGGATCATGGACACGAGGGTGCGGGTAAGCGTGTGTTGACTACGTGGTGCCTTTTGCAACAGGAGCCGGACGAGGCCTGGAGTGCTTTTATGCCGTGTTTCCGAGGGAAGACTTCCACGTTTCCAGGATGCACCGGTAAGGATCTCGGAGATCACGGGCCAGGCCGGGTGGCATCGGGCCCCTTTGCAAGCCGAGAGGCCGAGGCTCCGCGTGCCCTTTCGCCAGGAAGTTCAGAGCCTTTGGCCTCCGACGCCCTTGATCGCGGCGGCCCCGGCAGCTCAGAAAATCCCCGGCTCCCTGGCTGCATCGCTTCGGCGAGGACATGAAGAGCAGAGACAAGCTGATGGAGTCGCTGGACCAGAACGAGCTCATGGAAAAGGCTTCTTGGAATTCATGCGTCTCAGCGTCTCCACATCTTTGGGACTTAGACTTGCAGGTGGACGAGGAGGAGCGCCGTGAAGTCACGAGGCTGGGTGGTGAAGCTGCTTGCTCTGTGGCGGGACATCTCGTAGGGAAGCAGGTGGCGCAAGGAAGCTCTGTCGGACTCTATCACGTGGTGTCGAACCGTTCTCACATGTTCTCACGTTCTCTCCACCAGGCCATTCTTGTGGCTACAACACGAGGAGCAGGATTTCGCGCGAAGCTGAGTGGCAATCTGTTCGCCGCAACTGCATGGACGGGTGTGTATGTTGGTGAGAACCACATTTTCTGCTGCAGCAGACGAAACGTGTGCCAGTAGCAACGGCTCGTTTCAGGTCGGCAACGAAGATGTTGGCAGATTTGTCAAGGCAGTCTGACACGAAAAGAGTGACGAGCAAGCCCGCACTTCCTTGTCCTCGCAGATCGCCCGCGATGACCTGCTCGAGCATTTACCGGAAGGAGGCTGCGGTGAGTTGTCGTGCGGGCCTTCAAAGCTCGCGGCACCACGGCCTTACAGCCGTTGCAGAATCTGAGGCGCGATTTGACTTTGATCCCTGACCGAACGCGGGACGTGGGCTTCGCTGGCCTGTGTTCTGGAAGCCGTGGTGATCAGGAAAGCAACTACGAGGTTGTTGAACTGCATCTCTGGAATTGCCAGGTCTGATGGTCAGGAAGCTGTCGATCGCCTCGGTCTGAGAGACAGATAGCACTTCTGCCAGTCTTCGGACGAATCGCCCATGTTAGCAATGCACAGAAACATGTTAGCATTCAGTCGCCGTGCTGTTGCTCTTGCTTTCTGGACCACTGGACGCAGCAGATGTTCCATTCTGGTTTTCATGCTGCCCCGTGGCCGCTGCAGCTTTAAACTTAGCATCTGACATCAAAGTCAAGCTTGCAGAAGCGTATCGTGAGAACTATGGATCTGCTCCCCAGCATTGAAACATGCCTGAGCCTCAGCCAAGTGCTAAGCTTCCTCAACTCGCTACCCACCTGCCGGCCTATCTGTCTCATTCATTACTCTGCATCTGCCCATGGTGTTAGTTTTTTCAGCCTTACAGCTGTGTCATGGTGGTGTACGGTACTATACTGTACGATACACTATCGTAGAGGCGAACGTTATTTGATCACACGTTAGATGTGTGTTTGGATGTGAACATCCAGCTTTTCATCATTAGCTCCGCGTTCTGCTTACCTGCGTTGTATATTTTGATGAATCGCGATTCTGTCACCATGATGGTCTGACTGGTTTGGCTTTGCATTGGCATAGCACTGCTGTTGTGGAGATTTTCATCATGGTCATTCACGTTGTACTGGCTATCCTTCTTGTTATTTGTACCATCACCAGCAATGCCATCATCAGGATCATACAACATTCAAGACCTTGCTGCCTCTGCGGCTGCTGTTGCTACGGCTACGGCTACGGCTGCTGCAACGAATACATTCGTGGTTACCTTTTCTGAGTAGATGCTTCTGATTCGAAGCTCTTCATCGAACGGCTCATGGCCTCGCTGAGTGATCCGAGCGCGGGCTGCGAGAGCCATGGCTTCATGGTGTAGGGTTTCGGGAGGAGTCGACGATTGCGCAAGGATCTGTGGTGTTGGGTGACGACCTCAGGCCTCAAGCGCTTGGCATGATTGCTGATGCTTTGACCGTGAGTGATCTTGGCAATGCTTCTCAATTCAGAACAGCTGGGAAGGGCTGCGAAGTTTCGTGAAGCCTGCACTGGGCCTGTTGTTAACTGTCCTTGCTGCTCTCAGCCCGAAGCGCCCAAGCTCAGGAAGCCCGCCTCGCATGAGCCGCGCAGGTGGGAAGTCCTGCGAGGGCCGCAGTAGGAGTCGGACGATCAGAAGTAGCACTGCAGTATATTACAAGTCAGCAGCCAGGGAAGGGTAACGTAGCTGTAGCAAAGAGCAGCTAGAAGAGCAAGCAGACGAAGGCAACTGGACGACCTCCTTGCCTCGCTGCGCCAGGCAGCCCTTGCAAAGCAAAATTGGGCACTTCTTCTCTTTGCCAGCTTCTGCAGCTTCAAGCTGCCACATCCGTAGAGGTCCGCTTGGGACCTCTCTGCCTTTTTTTGTCCCCAGGAGGCCGAGGAGCTCTGGTGCCGTGCGGGTGGGGACGCCCTGGGCGAGGCTGGGCGAGAGACGCCCGAGCAGAAGGCCTGGCGAGTCTTGCTGGCAGACTGTGGACCCTTGCTGACCTGGGTGCGCCGATCTGCAGGCCCATGAGGAGGAGTTTTGCTCGATTCTTGGATGCACTGTTTGGTGACTCTGCTCAGACTTCCTGGAGGTTCATGGCAAGGTCGAATCAAAAGCACCTTAAGGCACCCTTGATCTGAACAGCTTTGAGGCGCATTTTGGCGGAGACCCTTCGCTCGATGCTGGACAGTGAAATTGGCCTGGAGCCGGACTGACCCGAGCTTGCTGCAAGTGAGTTAAAAGTCAATTACAGTTGATAACTTAATTTCTATGGCTTGCAACGTTCGTCTATGTTTTGAAGCAGTGCATTACACTGCTCGGGCTGGACTTTGCGAGACGTGCGCGGTTCTCCCCTGTGTCAGGAGCCAGTGGCCGAGAGGAAGGCCGACCTCAACGACGTTCGGAAGAAGGCCCCGAACTGTCATCGAAAAGCGGATCTCCTCAGCCCAAGCCCGGACCGTAGCCAGGATGCGCCAAAGGAGGACGACCACCATGGCCTTCGGGAGCTGGGCCGAGCGCAGGAGATTCAGCAACGGCTCGTTGAGGCTGGCCTTTGGGCAGGGAGGTTGGGTGAGAGTTTTGTTTCGCTTGTAGAATCAACCGTTGACCGCCGCCATCTTCCGGGACCACTTAAGATCCCGTTATTATGGAAGGCTCAGGAAAGTCACCCGAAGCCCGGTTGCCCTGAGTTACCTCACACACCTCCAGGAAAACCCTCTGGACCGGGTAGCTATGACCTGATCATCATCTTCGCAAAAATTACTTCGCTGCAGCAGTAGCTAAGGTGTGTGTGTGTGTGGGGAGGTTGTATCGGCAACATCAAACTGTAGCAAATGCTTACTCATACGGCCACATGTCCATCACTGCATTTGTGTCGGTGTTTTTTCTGCTTGATTTTGTTGCTTGTGGTTGTACATGTGCGGCAGGACGTTTGACTCCATTTCGAGTGTGCAGACCAGGCACCATATAGGAAGCCTTTAAGATTGTTTCTTGAGCTCTCATTCCCTTGGCGTCTGTTTGGTTCTCTGTGTTTCGGGAGCGCTTCAGAATGGTTCCAATTTGCATCAACTGCTTCTTTCACGTGTCTCCGAAGACGGGCATTCCCCAAATTCTCAGCAGGTCAGACGATTCAGAGCACCTTTCAATACTTGCTGAGAGGCCAACCTCCGCTCGGACAAACCACAAAGAGTCCTTGTCGCAGCATGCGAGGTGCTGCAGGACTGAAGTTGGGGTGAACTGCTCGGTGTGGCTGCGATTTTTTGTTCTTGGAGCTTCCGAAAGCCCGAGAGCTGCAGGACACGCAGACGTGGCCGGTGCCGGACCAGCTGCTTCCGTGGCCTCGCCGAAGTTGAGTCAAAAGCTGGGACGCGGAGAGAGGGACTCCAGACTTGATACGCAAGGCCCGAACTGGCCAGCGAAGCCGAGGCTCGGGGGCGACTTCAAAGTGTGCGCTTTAATTCGCTTCGCATCGCTTCGCCTGCTGCGTGTTTATGAATTTCAGTTGGGAGGCCTGGGCCCCGCTCTACGGCAACCTGTATCCGCAGAGCCCACCGTCGCGGCGTCGCTCCGTGCAAGACGGCTTTGCCACGCCGGAGGAGTGCAGGCTAGGGCTCCAGCTGGGTCAGTTGAGGGGAAGAAGCGCTCGGTATGTGCCAGGGATGCTTGCGGCGCTTCTGCATCCGTGTGGGCCGCAAAGAGTGAGAGAGATGCACAGTGATTGGAATTTCCGCGGTGCTGTCTATCAATTGCCGAGCGACTGAGGTGCGATGTACTGCATGTTTCGGCGTGGTGGTCAGACCTCGTTGGCCGTGGGACCATCCCTGGAGCGGCGCATGGGCGCCACAGGCGCAGAGCTTTTCGCAGAGCTCGTGGAGAGGAGCGTGGGCCCTCCCGCTCCAACTTAAGTTTCCCATGACTTGGCTTTGAGTTCTTTCTTTTTTGGACGCTGGCGTAGATTCAGATGCAGGGGAGTCTTTGGTACCTTTTGGAGGACTCGCCGAAGGATCTCCGCAGACGTCGGCCTGCTTGACCCGGACAAGGCCGAGCTGCCTTTGATGACGGAGGTGATGCATGCTGATGCTGTTGCGTAGGTTCTGGGCGCTGTTAGTTTTACCGCGTAGTGGCTGGTGATGCAGAGCTTCGGGGCACTGCAACGCGAAGATTTCCTGACCCTCTCTGATGAGGGTCGTGAGCATCCCGGAGATTTCCTGTTGCTTCTTGAAGGATGATTGGCGATCTAAGCAACGCAGCTCTGCACATGGAGAGAGAAGCTACACAGCTATGAGTGGAGCCTCTGCGCTTAAAGTGAGCCTCCAAGTTGCACACTCCCTGCGGGCAGGGGGAGCCCTTGCTCTATGAGTCTGGGGCACTGCTGACCCGATTGCAAGCCGACTGGGACAAAGACATGTGGGACGTCTGCTCCGGCGAGGAGCATGCCTCTTGATGTGGATAGAGCTTTTCAGGCTTCCTTGAGACTAGAGTGTGGTGTGTCTTCGCCTCAGACAAGAGTCATGTTTGTTTCGGACGTTTAGATCAGGAATGTGTAGATGTGGACAAACCATGTGAATGCCCCAAAATGCCCTTCAGATACTTAAACTCAGTTAATGTGCGCTGAGACGAGATTTTCAATCCGTGTCGCCCGCTGTTCAAGTTCTGACAGTGATGCATTGTCATTCGAACTTATTCTTCAATTGCTGTGTATATGCCAGTACAACGCTGCTAGCTAGACTCTGGCTCCCGTGAGGAGGAGGATGCATCTATTCCTGTGTCCAGGGTTGCGTACTAGCGGTCGCATATAGTCTTCATAATAACGGGGATACATTCGCCATGCGATTGGTAGTTCGGAGGATTTGGCGGTGCTGAGGTGTATTGGAATGCCCATGTGGACAAGGCCGAAGCGTTCGCTTCCGTCACGCACTGTTTTCGAACGGACATGACCAAGGGGACTTGTGAAAAGTCACCAGTCGAACCTGGAGGCCAACGTGGCTTCGTACGACTACGCAGCCTTGCTTTACTTGAACACACAGGGGGAGCACTTCGAAGGTGGCGACTTTGCCTTCGTGGACGCAGGACAGATGCTCGACTCCTCGACCGTCCATAGTGTCACAGAGTGCAACTTGTTGCATGTGAGCTTAAGTACGAAACTTGAAACTGGCAGTGCAGGCATCAATCACAATGGCGGGTCTACGTACGTGATCTAGGTCTATCTGCGAAGCAGCACTTCGAGATGTACACAAAGCTCAAACGGGGTGCCTCGTTGAGGGAGACGACTCGCAGGCCCGAAGACCGGCGCCGAAAGCCGGCTCAAACCCACATCCTTCGTTTAGATCCTCCGAGCTTCCACACCCTATCGACGCTACTCGTAGGGCCGATGAGGTTTATGCGGTTTTTGGATCTTTTACGGGCTTTAGGGCCTTTTTAGAGGCCTATGGCTGCTCCTGGGTCCGACGGTTCCGGTACAGCCCTCCTGCGGAGGAGAGGATTGCCTCGTCTCTCCAAAGAGGGGCCGACTGCTGGCATTCACCGCTGGTCCCGAGAACCTCCACCAGGTCGGTCCTTGGGCGTAAAACAGCTCAGAGTTTAGAGGTTTGTGGTGTTTAGACAGCTTCGGGTCGCGTGCATCTCCTGGGAGGTGAGGAAAGTGACCTCCGGAACTCGATTCGCTTCGAGCTCAGCCGTGGAGCCGACCAGAGCTCCCGCGCTGGGATTCTGCGACGCCCAGGTGCTGGCAATGTGGTTCACGCTTTCGGCCGCACACCAGAGAAGGGACTGAGGACCGCCGGAGTCTCAGCTTCTCCGAGTGCAGCGTGGCATTCGTCTGCAAAAGGGCTCGGTCTCTCGGTTTCCCTTGCAGGTGACTTGGGAGCGCTCCCGAGCCGGCTACACCGAGAGCCTCAGAGCCTGTGGTGCCTGCAGCAGAAAAGGGAGTCCACCTGCCAGCAGCTGGATGCAACTGTGTCTGGTGACCGTCGGACGGTGGGCTGCGGTGCCGAGGAGCTCATCTCACAGCTGTCTGAGCTGCAGCACGCGACGGATGCGGAAGGTCGGCCCAGAATTCGCAAGGCCCACGGTGGCTGCCGTTTTCAACTTACGGTTTCTGGTGCAGAAACTTACAAGGCGTGACTGAGCCCTGCACAAAAGCAAAACCGGCATGCAGATCCATGTACACAAAGGGATGAGCGTCGTGCTGCGATGCTGCTGACATCCTGGAAGGCCGGCTTTCTGCTTGACGGCCATAAGGGGACAGGGAAGAGCCAAGTCGCGGCCTTCACGTGGGAGCACAAGAACTCAAGACCTGATGCCCGCACCGAGTGCTTTGAGGTCTTGAACCTGCTCGCCATGTGGGCACGCAAGAACGGTGTGGCTGGCTCGATTGCCGCATGGAGATCAGAACTCAGAGCACCACTGGCCAGTTCAGATATCTGCTGACGGATGCAGGTTGGCTGGTGGTGCTGGAGCCAACGCCGGGCCGCTACGCACGGGAGATCGCAGAGATCAAGCGCTCGAACAACGGGGTCGGTGGCCAGACCGCGGGCTGTAAGTCCAAGCGCACCTGCCGGCAAGCGCAGGTCTACATCCAGTCCGAGTTCGCTCAGCAGTTCTTGGAAGCCTTGTCGCTTGCAAACCGTCACATGCTTGAGGTTCGCCATGGTGCTTCTTTCCTGTGAATCCCGGGGAGACGCTTGCCTGCAGGAGATTCCGGTTGACAACACGGCCTATGGGTCCAGGGCGATCGATGGAGAATCACAACAGGCGGATCACACGGTAGAAGAACCATGGATGTCTAACGTTCCGGTCATCGCATTGAGTCGTCTCCCGCCTTTACAGTCTCTCAGTCTCTCACAAGCTTGATTCTCGGAGAGCCCTGCTAGCTGCAGTCACCTAGACACGTGGCTAAAGATGAACATTGATGGTCCGGGCTTCCAGGAGATGATGAGCTTTGAATCTGACGGTGTAGTGAACCGCAAGCACTATGCACTCTAAACCTCACTGGTTTCGTTTGCGCGCTTCACCCACAAAATCCCTCACGATGCGTGCTCGTCGTAGCGGGAAGGGGGTCGTCTTGCTCCTCGTGGCTTTATATGCTGTGTTGGTTCTCTGAGCCCTAGGGCTTCGAGCTGTAGGCCCAGCAAGATAACGCCCGACACATGGTGCCTTGGTACTCTTCTGACCGAACCTCACGCGTTTGAAAGGCCCGGCTTCACGGGTGGTTTCATGCAGGGCACCTGCTAGTGATCTAGGCAGTGTACGAACGTCGCAGCACCCCAAACCTGAGCCCTCAACCCCAACAAATGCACCCCACAAGCCCCCAACGGCAGCCATGTCTGCCGTGCGCCCTCTGCCACTTGGCCTCCGGGAGCCTGTGCTGGCGATGGCCCCAATGGTGACTCAGAGCCCGCCGGCAAGGACAGCGCTTTCGGCCTTTGGGGCCTGAAGGTTTGAGATGCTGGGGCTTGGAGTTCAGGACAAACTGACTGCCGCAGAGGTTTGGGGGCTTTTGGTGGATGTAGATCTCCTATCCGACTTTGGCGAGGGCAGCTTGATGTGCCCAGGTGACTATGCTTTCCGCCGGCTAGTGCGTGCACATGGCTGTACCCTCTGCTATACCGAGATGCTGATGGCCTCACGCTTCGCTGAGAGCGAGGACTGCATCGCGTGGGGAGGTGAGTTGACCAGGAGCTTCTTGAGTGCTGCCGAAGGACTATCGAAGACGTGCTTTCGGATCCGGAGTGGAGATCTCAGAGCATGGGCGGCTGCCCTCTCGCCCGTCAGTGCGCATCAGGATCTTGCTGTTGGAGCTTCTGTGCCGCAGGTGGCAGCGGAGGACCATCCGCTCGTGGTGCAGTTTGCTGCCAACGACCCGCAGGTGCTGCTCCAGGCAGCGCTCCATGCGCAGGCAGGAGACATCGAACTCCCAAACCGAAGCCCTACACCCTAATGATGTAGTGGCATTGTGGCTTCGACGCAGACGGACAAGAAGCCTCAGCCAAAAAATCCCATTGTCCTGTCTGTGTTGGAGGAGCTGGGAGCCGACGCCGTGGACCTGAACTTGGGCTGCCCGCAGTGGCCACTGAGACAGCAAGTACGAGCAGCGCTGCCTTGGTGGAAGTTGGTGCTGTCGCCGCGAGGTGCGGCTAGTTTCGTTTTTTGTAGGTGGTGGTGCAGTCCCTCCCGAGGAAGGCGAAGTTGGGCCACTCGGCTCTGATTGCGGCTGAATCCACTGCTGCCGAAGTCAAAAAAACCGGGTCACGATCGCTGGCTGCTGGCTCTTTCCAGTCACGTGAGGCAACTACGGGGCTTGGCTGGCTGCCGACTCGGAGAACTGGCCTTTGATCGAGGCAGCACGTTCCCCGACATCCCACCACTGGATCCGCCGTTCCCAGAAGAAACAGGGCCGAAGTGAATGTGAGCAATTGGGGTGTTGCGTTTCCTGCAACGAGCCGCACATCGTGTGTCTACGGGCTCTTTCCCTCTTTCCATGGCTTTGCTTTTCCTCAGCTTTCGCAGGCCATGGTGGCCGCTTGCAGCCAAGAGCCGGCAGTCAGCATCCCGGTCTTCTGCAAGATTCGGCTGCAGCCCACGGAGGCGCAAAGTTTTATGGTGCTTGATGTGCAGCGGCCATGGATTGGAGTTGAAGTGGTCCTGGCATTCAGTTTTTTTTGGGCCTGCTGGAAGACGGCAGGCCTTTCTGGAGTTTTCTTCTTGTTTGTGTCAATTTGAACTTGGTGTTGCCGCCGATGCAGGAAGCGTCTCATTTCGGCAGTAGCTCTCGAAGTGGGAGCGGTCAGTCCGCGAACGGCTTGATCGGGTATGCATTAGCACTTTCCTGAAGAATCTGTCGGCGTCTGACGCAGAGTATATTATTCTTGTTATTCTCATTAGTCATTATTATGTTATGATTATTGCTGTCTGTTACTGCTATGATTAATTGCAAAAATATTCTTCTTATTATTTTGATTATTGTTATGTTATTGTTATTATTGTTATTATCTTTATTATTATTATTACTATTATTACTATTATTATTATTGCTATGGTTATTGTTATGTTGTGATTATCGCTATCTGTTAATGTTATGATTTGTTGCAGAGCGCCTCAACGAGCGCCTGCCGGCAGGCTGAGACTCTGGATCTTTCCACGCGGCTGCAGCGCGCTGGCTGCGCCTTACTTGCGGTGCACGGACCGACGTATCAAGGGAAAGTTCCCTGAGGAGTGGAAGCTGAGAGGGTCTGTTTGTTGATTATGCTTCAGCAGCACGAGAGGACGAGAGCAGAAGGAGAAAAAAACAAGAGAACCGCAGACAGGACGTCGCCTCGAATCCGAGAAAGCCAGGCGTGACGGACCTGCCGACCGAAGCTCAGCGTTTCTAGGACCTGAGCCTGAGGCTGAGGGATTGACAGAGTATATATAGTATATAGAGTCTGCACCGGCTCACGAGCGGATGTCCCGCCGAGGACCTGCGGGCTGTGGCCGAACTTCGCGCCAAGCTGTCCCTGCCCGTTCTGAGCAATGGACACCTGTCTGAAGATGGCTGAAGACGATTGAAGTGGGGATTTAGGGTTTGGGTTTTGGACGGCTTGTTGATTGGTTCAGAGTTCAGGGTGCACGCTGGGCAAGCGAGGCTTGGTCTTGACCGAAACGCATAATGATAATCTTCATGACTCACCTGTGATCAGCATGATGCGCCCTGCTGCCGTGATAGAAGTGCCATTGGCAGGCAACGTCAGATGTGCACAGGCCTGGGCAGCATTTCAATCTCTAGTGTTCTATTCCGGTGAGAAGTGGCTGACGACTGTAGCATGCTTCATTCGCGTTCAGGGTCTGGCATAGGGTGTGGGGCCTGGGCGTTGAGATTTGCAAACTGCATCGCAGATGTGCGCACAAGAGCTTCAGAGGATGTGACGAACAACTTGAAGTTGACTTCTTGTGTCGGACTCCCAGTTGCCCAATGCAGCTTCCAAGAAGCTGCCGGTGAAAGATCGCTGTTCGTAAGGAGGGCATTATGGTGGCCGAACAGCTACTTCGCGACCCGGCACTTTTCTCACGGGTGAAGGGAGTGGAGCCTGCCCCCCTGGAGCTGATTGACGAATACCTCACGCAGCTGGGCTTGAAGCGCTTGCAGCGCTTGCAGGGGCAGCCGTGTTGCCGTGGCGGTACCACTGTTGCTGAGGTATTGCCTGGAGCTCGATGGCTCCCAAAGCGGCGAGTGCTTCTCCGTTTGGGATGCGCGCAACGTGGATGTTCTCCGAAACCACCTGAGGCCCGCTTGTTGGGGCCATGTCGCCTCTCTCTGGGCAAAAGTGACCTTCTAAGAGCCCTTCAAAGCTAGCTGCTCACCACAACGTACCACGCCCATCACGACCCGAGGCATGTCATGAAGACGCTTCCACTCCTCAAGGCTGTCGCAAGTGCCTCCTGGCCCATGAGGTCCCTGCTGGTCGGCGCCGTGGGCACCGCTGAGGCGGAGCCCGGGACCCAGCAGCTCATCGCGGCCCCCCGTGCGAGGACGGCGGCCAGGCGCAGCCTCAGTTTGGAGGTTTAGGGTGGTTTGCGTGTTGAGGTTCCGGATTGGGCTTTGGGTCATTTCGGGCTTCAGGGTTTGGGGACTCGCGCATTACAGTGGCCGAGGGTTGGAGTACCTGTGCACTTGCAGTGCACCCATCCTGCACGGAGTAGTGTCTCGCTGCAAGCCATGATCGAACTACTCATGAGATCACGCAACAAGATCAGAGGATCGTTGAAAGCAACAGGTTTATCTTGGATTGGTGGCGCATCCAGCAGGCAGGGGCGGAATGGAGCAATCCCCAATCTCTACGCATGCTCTGCAAGTCCAAGTTCCCTTGATGTAGCCACTGATGGAAGGCTAAGTCGGTCGAGGACGCTGTGATGCGCTACCGAGAGCGTTGTCACACCATCCAGCCGTGTGCAGAAGCAAAAAGACCAGTGACCAGTGCATGTCTGTGCATCGTTGTTCCGAAACAGCAGGGCATCCGCAAATCTCCGCGGGCTGCAACAGGTGACCCGTCGACTATACGAGCCCCTGATCGAGAAAACCGTGGACAGAGAGGCGATACCTGGCTTCCAGCGCTACAGAAGGTCTTTCTCGGGTGCACATTGGGCGGGCCGCAGGGGCGTTCCTCGTTGCAGATGGTGCTGCCAGAACATTGCTAGAAATGTACAGTCTTGCAGCTTTCACCCAACCAGATCCGCATGTTTCCGACACTCCACTGCACGCGGCAGCAGGTCGATGCGCAGAGCCTCTCCGGACCTGAGCGCTTGCAGCGCATCGCTGAGTCACTCCGCCTCGCTTCTTATAAGGGGCTGGTTATGTATGCAGGATCTCGTGTGTGTTCTTCTTTGAACCTGTCTTTGCGAAACCCAGCCTGGTTTTGCGAAGTGCACACCATGACAACGACTATTGCACATGACATGCAAATGTCCTGCGCAACGCAAATCGTTAGAACGTCTAAGTCGTGTGCCTGATCGAAAACTCCTAGACAGTATATAGGAAAATCCACAACGGATCCACATGACTATTGGCACAAGAGACTTTTGCAGGATGACAGTCTGCACAGAGCATCCACTTATGGCTCCGGCGCCACGTGGTGGGTTTCGTACCCTCTCTCCTGGCAGCTCGTTTTGTGGTTATGTCACGTCAAGAAGTGTTTGTGCTCGTCCAGTGTGAGTTTCATGCAAGTTGAACCCTGAAAGCTCCTGGGGCTTTGACGGCACAACGCAGCTGAGAACATTCTCGTGCAGGGTGTCAAACTCGATGAAGATGGGTTACCCCTTTTCTGGATAGAAGTTCGTTTGTTCGGACTGGTTAGGCACACACACACACAACCGAAACTTTGCAAAGCCTAGTAACCCCAAATGAACCATCGTCGAAAAGCCGAGAGCGCCGCACTGCCGGCTGTGAGTCATGTATCAAAAGTTGAAGACTCGCACCGAACGATCGTCAAGCAAGCTGCGAGAGCGTGGCAGGTACCGGCGGCAAGTTCGCATCCCATCGTCTTGGTCTCAGACTTCCAGCCCTGATAACATCACTGTTTGCCGCAGGTCACCTCTGCTTGTGTCTTCGGATTGCAGATTATGAGGATGGCTGATGTGCTGAAGCCGCAGAACGTATGGGAAATCGTGGACTTCGGCTTAGACAATGAGCAATACGCCGTCCAGGCCTCTCGCTCGCATGTATCCTACGCCCTACGGCCTCCACTGCATCAGCTGCAGCTGCCGGTGGCCAGGCGGTTGCAGAGACCTTCGTGCAGCTACAGCGACAGACGACGCCTGCGGCCGAGTCGTTTGGGGCTTTGAACCCGCTGTGACTTCTTGACGTTCTGCTCAGGCATCCCGTTGCCGTCGTCGTGGATGACTGGAACGAGTGCTTCCCGTGTCAGGGGCTGAGGGGGATCTTGCAAGAACAGATCGGCTTCAAGTCTCTTTTGGGATGCAGGTTCGGAGTACGTGTCAATCCGATACGACAACACTCGGCCGGGCACTCGCTAGCCATCCTCGGGACTCTGCTGATCTGCTGATTACAAGCCTTTCGATAAGCAGCCGCAGCAACATAACTAGAACGAGAAAAGTATGTGATGGTACTGTATATCTTCGGCAATGCCTGCTGTTTCGCTGGCGTCACACCAGCTTCCAGCCGACCCGGTTGGCGGTCTCCTTCGGCACGAACCGAGGTTCAACGGATACATACCTTCCTACCATTTGTCGATGCCCAGAGCGTTCCATCGCCTGGACCCATGGAGCGGCAAGTGTGTGTCTAGCCCTCCGAACCCGACTCATGACCACGAGGCTGGGACGGTCACAAGTTTCGGTGTGGCGCCTGGCACTGCTCCGCACGACGGCCGCACGAGATTTAGGGATCTATTGGCATGCGGCAGCCGAGGCGTGGGGTGAAGATCTGCGCCACCTCCTGGATGCGCTACAAGCGTCCTGGCCTGAGAGCTTCCCAGCTAAGGGGGTTTAGCCCTTTCTTGACCCCTTGCTGCCCTTGCTGGTCGCGCTGGGGGTCAGACTGCAGGTCGACAATACCGCCCTGAGCTGCTGGGAGTGCGAGACTTCGAGATCAGGATGCGAGCTCGGGGGGTAGTTTGGAGAGCGTATCTCAGAGACTCAGACATTTTGGGCAGGACAGTACGAAACTTCACGCAGCAGGAGTTCGCAAACTATGTTATGCGCCTCGGGAAGGATTGCTTTCCTGTGCGGTGTCACATAGGCCGGCCCTGCGGCTGGAGGTATCTTCGCATCATGGGGGTCCTGCACTGCTTCCCTGCGAAGGCCTGTGGTTTCATGCTGGCGTGCTTCTTCAAGCTAGTGGTCCCGTAAATCCTGCAGGACCTGGAGTATTTCTACATGATGACCCAGGGCAATGGTGCCTCGGCAGACTTGCAAACCTGCTGCCCTGCACAGGTTCAGCGAAATCAAGGTGAGCTTCTGGCTGAGGTTGGCAAGCGCGCAAAGTTCTCTCCACCCTCTACTGATGCGGCTTCGCATCTTTAGGCGCCTGGGAGGCCTGACTGCGAATCGCGCAGCCGGGCAGCTCCGAGCAAAGGCGGTGAAAATGAGGGGCTGTGTCTCAGTCTAAAGCTGCCCCAAAGCACACCTGGTTCGGGGTAATTCTCCCACGGTTTGCCATTGCAGATTGCTCGAGTGCTACGCCTCTGAGCTATTGTTGCTCTGCAAGGCTCGGCTCAAGCCGGCCAGGGCCAACTAGTTTCATGCTCACAACAAGAGGTGACAAGAGTGTGCAAATCCTTACCCGCTCCGAACGCCACTCCGGAAGGAAGTGCTGTTGGAACTGTTGGGAGGTAGTACTGGTACGAGAAGGTTCAGCTGTTTCGTTGTTCAGCGATCTTGAAGCTTTCGGTGGGATGCAACTCGTGCTTTACGTGACCAGAGCTTGCAGACAGTTCTTTCCGGTCATAGACCCTCACTGGAGGGATTTTTCTTGTGCTGAAGATGTTGCGGTCGTCCGGGGACGATGCCAGGCCGCAGGAGTTACGTTGCCTGCTCGTACCTGCAGCTAGTCTCACTGCTGTTGCCTTCGTCGTCATTCTTCGTTGAGCTTCGTCAGTCTGGTTCCAGGCATCCACGCAGCTGGCAGAAGCAAAGGCAGCTCAGGCCCGGAGGGACCTCGGGTGACTGCCAAGCATCGTCTACCGCAATATGACTCCATATACTGCGCTGTCATGCAATGTATGCGATGTGATGTAACGTAGTTTGAGTAATCTGAAGTAATGCAAAACACTATTCCATACTATTCCGGATTATTCCAGAATGTAATATACGCAAAAAGTAATGCAATGCAATGCATTCTAAAATACTTAAGTAATGTAATATACTATGACACATGTGTACCAAAATGTATTGTAGTGTTAGTATAAAAGAAAAGACTAGCAAGGGCCCCTTGCTCGCCGACGACGTTGGCCCCCCACCGGCTCAAACAGTGCAAAGGCGGCAAATTACAAGGATGTCTAGTGCCACTGGCATGGCATGCAACAAATGTCCAAGTCCATATAGGTAGCCAGTTGCACTGGAGAGCAGGTATCAAGGCCCTCGCAAACTCCAGCGACACAGCAGCGGACCTCGTAACACGTAGAACGCTCCAAGAGTCAGCGCTCGCCCCTGCGACTTGCCCTTTCTTGTTCCAGTGGCTTCCAGGGACAGGTTCGGCTACTTGGTGCTCTTGTCCTGCTGTCGGGTGTAGGATGGTGTAGGCGGACTGTCGGCTCCAAAACGGCATGATGACACGCAAACCACCTTGGCGGAAGCCGAAAGCACCTACTCTCTTCGGCATTCTGCTGAGGACATGGGATGGCATCTCGGAGTGAGTTTCGGGGGACCAGTGGGCAGTAGCGCCGGGGTGTGAAGCGTGCAAGACTTTCAGAAGCTTTTTAGGCAGGAAGACTGCAACGTTTGGAGCCCCTTGCCATCGGGATCTTGATCTCGGGCCGTGCATCAAGATGTGCTTGCACAGACTCTGGCCGCCGACAATAACTGCTCCGCCTCTCAAGTCTCGAGTTCCTCCTGTCCGAGGCGCTCACAAAGGCAGAGCAGGAGCAGCTCAAGCGGCTCGTTGCAGGAAGGACGCAGGAATCAGAGGAGCGGGCTCTAGGAAGGCCTAGAGGCTCCCAACCAAGACTCACAGGCCCCTGACTGAGAATATGAAGAATCGCGATCTTTGAGGAGTCGCGGCCGAAGAGGCGATTTGTGAGCTCACGGACGAAGACCATGATGCTTCCTGGCCCTGCTTTCAGGGTTGGGGTTGCGAGTCGGGAGCTTGTGCGGGGTGTGCGTGTTGTCGGTTGTTTTGGGCCGTTCCTTTGTTCGGGATAGGGACAAAGTAATTGCCCTTCCGAGTGGGGCAGCTCTCTTTCCAATCTGCCGTTGAAGCAAAGGCTCCGCAGCCCGATCGACGTTCGCGATCTCAGCTTTCGGCTGTGGCTTGGACGAACTCACCGGGCAACTGCACTACCGGGACATGCCAAGCCCTTTGGGGTTGATTTCCCAGCTTCGTTGTGGGCTTCTGTCATGCGTGGCGATTCTAGGTCATTTGTGTGCTACGTGTGCGCGGAGACTCGCCTCAACAACAGCCTTCTGCAGGCAGACATTTCCCTTCTTCTCCAACTCGCACCGAGATTTCCTGTCGCTTCTTTCCATGGAGCTTTTTGGATGCAGAGGGAGATCAGAGAGAGCGGAGGGAGAACGAGAGAGGAGAGGCGCCTCGATGCAGCTTGGCCCTGGCCAAGGCTGGACATTCGCATCTTTCATCCTGGTCAAACCATCTTGCGAGAGAGCGAGTACGGCGAGATGACGTATATCTTGGTGCACGGCGAGGCAAGCTGCAGTCGAGTCGAGTCGCGTCCTATTGGAAGCTTTAAGCGTCGAGAGGCAACTGCAAGGGCTTCGGAGTAGTTAGGCACCGGGGGTGCTCAAGTGCATGACTGAGCCGTCTCTTCTGCAGTGCAGCAGCCTCTGGCCCACGCTAGTTCTGCACTGAGAAGCTGGTCTGTGGCAAGCATGGCACAAGATGGGACCGCGGCCAAAAGCCCGGAGCTCAGCGCGGGCTCTGTGCGATGTCTAGCTGCTGCTGCGCTCCGGCCAGAAGAAGCAGCAGGCGCCGCCGGCGCGGCAGGTGGGCCCATCCGGGTTCAGGTGCTCTGTCGGAAGCCAGCCCGCGAGGGAAGCAAGGATCGGCGCACCGCTCTACGCATCTCGGACGGCTGCCACCACATCCTTGCGCTGTTGGCCGAAGACATCAAGGATCCACAAGAGGGAAGCGTTATTGAGCTGCTGGAGTGGTCCTGCGGGATGCACGAGGGCCTGCAGGCAGTCTTTGTGGAGGACTGGGATCAGACCTCGACCGAGTGCTTGGGAATCTTAGGGCAGCCGGTGGCGGTCCCGCTGGAAGTTCCACCCAGCGCCCCACAAACCAGTGCCTTTGAGGCTCCGATGGCACCGGCCGCCAAGTGCCAGCCCTTGTGTGAGAAACCGAGACCGGTTGCCAGCCCCATGCGAAGCCAGAGCCAAGCCAGTTTCCATCCGGACACCAAGTCTTTGGCATCCCCGCACGCAGTGGCCGCCATGATGCCTGCCTCTGCATCCTTACCAGTCGTGCCGATTGCAGAGCTCAGTTCCTTCATGCAGCGTTGCAGAGTGATGGTTCGTGTGCTGAGTAAATCGGAGATGAAGACGTTCAACAACGCGAGAGGGCCAGGCAAGCTATTCTCTGTGGATCTCATGGATGCAGCGGGCGAGTGTGTCCGTGCAGCCTGTTTCAATGCAGCTGCAGACAAGTACTTCGGCATGTTGCAGATCAAGAAGACCTATGACATCAATGGCGCATCAGTCAAGCCTGGAAATCCGCGGTGGTGCCGGTACCCCTTCGAGCTCACGATCGAGGACCGTGGGACGTCCGTCGTGGCTTTGCCAGAAGACGGTTCCATACCACCGATGCCATACAAGTTTGTCCCACTTGCAAGCTTGGGAACGTCTCCGGCGGGCAGCTCTTGCGATGTGATGGGTGTGGTGCACTCCGTGGAGGAGCCGGTCAGCATCGCGACTCGCAACCAGGGGCCGCGCCAGAGGCGACAGTTTCTGATCGTTGATAGCTCGCAGGCTTCAGTGAGCGTGAGCCTCTGGGGAGAGAAGGCTGACATTCAATTCGGAGTGGGCTCGGTGATCTTCATCCGGAATGCTAAAGTCAGTGACTTCTCTGGCCGCAGCCTGGACCTCAACGCCGGAAGTTTCCTGGAGGCCAACCCAGATGACAAGCGCGCCTTTCAGCTCAAGGCCGCTGTCTTTGGGAAGGGGAGTTTTTGGATGTTTTTTTGTTTTTCGTTTTGTTGGGTCGTGTTCCCAGCTCCAGGCGTGGTACCAAGGCGGTGGCAAGAACGAGCCAGTGCGATTCACGCTGACGACAGGCCAGTCCTCGACCAGAGGCCGCAAGAGAAGCCTTGCGGAGATGCAGCAGGAAGACGGACTGCTACGCTTGCAGAGCGATGGAAGCGAGAAGGCCCACACGGTCCACTACCACCGGGTCTCGCCCGTGACCGTCACAGCAGTTCGAAATGAACGTGCTCCTTTCTATTGGGGCTGCACGCAGGAAGTGATAGGGATGGAATCGAAGCCTCGCATGTGCAACAAGAAGGTTGAGAATGGCCAGTGTGCCGGCGGCCACATCTGTCCTGAGCCGGTTAGCACCTCAGCATTTCCACGTGGGCCTCCATCCAGTCATAGAGGATCTTGTTAAATCCTTGTAACACTCCATCACGCATTGACTTGCCGCGGACATTGTGTCCACAGGGTCATAACCGTAGAAAGTTCTGAGTTCAGATGAACTTACCTCCCCTGGGATTGTCGGATGCGTTTGCAAGGCTGCCCGCTTCAATCTGAACCTCACCTTGTCGGATGCGACCTCTTCAGTGCGCTGCCGGGCCTTCGGTGAGCCTGCAGAGGCCCTTGCGGATGTTCCTGCCTCGGAGTTTGCCGTCTTGGAGAACGAGCGCTTGACGGGTAGCATCCACGCGGAGAAAGCCTACATGCGGATTTTCTCCAACATGCTCCGCCGATGGTCTCTCACACTTAAGTGCAGGAAGGAGTGCTTTGAGGGTCGCGAGCGGGTTCAGATCTCGGTGGAGAATTGCTCCCCTGTAGACTTCGTGTCGGAGGGCAAGGAAATGGCTGCAGCAGTGCGTCATGCCCTGGGCATAAAAGAAAGTGAGAGCATGCGTACCCCCCAAATGTTGATTGAAAGGAGCCGGGGGGCGGAAGGTACAGTAGTAGTGAATGCTCGTGTCTGAGGCTCGGGCCACTACCTGGTCAGTTTTAGGAAGTGAAGCCACTTCAACCGATGCTTAATCTCTCTTGGGTTTCAGAATTTGAGCAGATCCTCTGTTGCGACGCACATCGCAGCACGGTTTCAGGAAGGGCAGGCTGTGCTGACGAGGGTAGGCCCAGCAATCCTGCTCTTCAGGTCTGAGGGACCGAACTTGATCTCACCGCGCAGGGAAAACGGGAAGGGGGGGTGCGGCTGCCGCCCTCGTCGTCGAGCTTACTGTGCTTCTGAACATCCGAGAGCTGAGTGCGTCTTTGCAGGTGGAAGTGGTCACGGAGTCCATGCCCGAGGCTTCCAAAGCATGGCCGACTTTGCAGGAATGTGAATGCAAAGCCGCCTCCTCGATTTGACGCGTAAACAGCTTGAGATCTGTCCAGGGCCATCCGCCCATCCGAATGCGGGCCCCGTCCATCTTTGGCGAGAGTCCCCTGCTTTTGGGGGCGCCTGCCAGGCGGTGAGGGGGACAGAGTACGGCAGCAATACTGGTAGCAGGTTTGGAAGTATGCGTATCATACTGTCATACAGCCACATACATATCTCTGTAAGGTTTGTTTCTGCATACATCTCCTCGTCAGTTATGATTGTGCTGAGAGATCGAACTTTTTCTCATGCGAGGCGGACGGCCACGATTATCGCAAAGGCCGTGGGCATGGGCTGGATCATTTTTTAGGACCTAACGTGGGAAACGTCGAGCGTTGAAGAGCGTGGCCAGCGTGTAGAAGGATCGTTTGGAGGCAGACCAGGAGCATTCAATTCGAAGAGTTTCAGCTGCACTTGGCCCAAGGCCATTTGCGACGTGCGTATGATCCACCAGCGCATCTTCAATCAGTTGAGCCTCGCCTGAGAAAGCATGGACCGGTCAAGATGGTTAACCCCTGTCCGATGAAAGGCTAATCTGCAAACTCTTGGTTGCCGCTTCAGAGGGGGCTTCCATCAGCTGCTTCGCTGTCTCCACCAAAAGCCGCCCAGTCTCATACCTCTATACAGACATCTCTAATCTCAACACTGAAGTAGAACTTGGCTACACGCTTTCATTCGCCACCCCACTGAACCGATGCTCGAGGCTTAGTCACTTTCCTTCGGAGAGGGTGGTCTACCGAAAGATGGCTAAAGAGCGCTACGGGAAGAGGCGCGCTGAGGTTTGGGAGAGACTCCGAACTGTGACCATTTTCCTCGTCGTAATATCTATATAGGTATATAGGTATATTAATTATGTTGTGTATATCTGTGTATATATGTATGTATGTATGTATGTATGTATGTACGTATGTGTGTATATATATATAATGACTGCTATGTGTATACACATATACCGCAAGCAAACATCATACGCACATACATACTTACACACACACACATATATATATATATACATACATACATACATACATACATACACATACACATACACATACACACACATACATACATACGTACGTATATACATACATACGTACATAGTATAGATTAGTTGTAATATCTTCCACTTGTTGCATTATAGTACTTTCCCTTATTCCATTATATCATTTTGTTATGATATGTTATGTTATGTTGATTTCACTATATACTATCATAGTTTTATATGTCATATAGTGTCTTTAGCACGCTACACATTACGTATTACATATTGTGTATTACATACCTTCGTTATACATTATATATGATATATGACCTGTTATGTATTGTATGTTATGTGTTACATACAATATGTTATCGATGATATATGATAAATGATGTATGTTCTATTGTGTAGCATGGTTTATGCTACATGATGTATCGTGTATCATGTATTGCGTTATTACGCGCAATTCAATACGTATTCGCATATACAACCCACCATATACGGTGCATTACAGAAATATTTTATTTACAATACCATATAACAAATTCCATGGAATGCAAATTACTTTATATACTGTAGTGGGTATATTGTATCATATATCATGTAAACTACAAAATGTTTTATAGTATATTCTGCACTCATCGATGTCATGCCACATGTAGTACATATGTATGTATATATATATATGTATAATATAGTACATTCTGCATTCTTTATATAAAACATGTTTTCCATATGTATCATATATTGTGAATGGTATGCTATATGCTATATACTGTGCATTTTTTTGAAAATTTTGCATATCATATCTACATCATATATACTCTCTCTCTCTCTACTATATATATATATAACAAAGTATGTTACACATGATACATCTTTACACTTTACATGATATGACTCATATTGTGGAATCTATATTCTCACATTGTATATTGTATACAACATATGGCATATTATATGTTACATGTTTTACATTATAGGTTCTTAAGTTTAGATATTACATATGATATACCATACATTATATTTTCATATTGTTTCGTCGTCTTATATATATATACGTTTTTGTGCTATACACTCACACACACACACACACATATATATATATATATATGGTGCAGCGTCGC